CAGCATTTCATTTCTGATGTTATCTAGACCACAAGCCTTCTTTGGTTTTTATAGATTTGAGCTTTTCATGTAGTTCTTGTTGGGTTGTTGGGTAATCTAATGGATTTAGGTTGTTTTTAATGACTGATTCAAGGATGTTACATTTTTCTTAAATTTTTAATTGGTAATATTGTAAGCCTTTCTGAGGGATATTTTTGAATAGATTATCAAAATAAGTTTTCCAAATTCCTGCATCTTGTATGGCTAATTATTGTGGCTTTGTCATGCTTAAATTGTTCCACATGTCCCAGAACTGATTTTGGTTTATTGCGTTTTCAATTTCATAAAGTGTCTTATTGGTATAATTCAATTTCTTGCGTTTCAGTGTATGTTTATACTGTTTCAGAGTTTCAAAGTATTCATAGCGTAGATCTGGGTTGTTTTGCTGCTTATGTTTTTCATTTGATATTTGTCTTAGGTGTTTTCTAATTGTTTTACATTCGTTATCAAATCATTTTTCAGAAACATTTTGTTTTTTGTTTCTGATGTTGTATTTCTTTGGTTTTCTCAAATTTGCTTTTGATGCTGCTTTTTGGAAAATGCAATTGATGTTTCAAGGAGCCGAATTGACACCTTCTTTATTGTTTTGGTATTGTGAGTTATTGAAGACCTGTATAGAGTTCATCAGTTCATTTGAGTTCAATGTTTCAAAGTTTCAATGAATTTCTCTGCACTGTTTGGAGCCCATCTGTACGATTGGTTCATGTTGTAGAGTTTATTGGGCTGTTTCTTTTTCATGAGTATTGCTGGTTAATTTCTTCAGAAACACAATGATCTGTCTGTGTCCATGTCAGTGATGGCATAATCGACTACACTTGTCCCAAGAGCTGAGTAGTAAGTAAACTGACCTAAAGAGTCCCCTCTGATTCTACCATTAAGCATGTACAGGCCTAAGGCTCGACAGAGATGCACTAACTCCTTCCTGTTTTTGGTTCAGGACTGTTTCTATTATTTATAATAGGGCTACTGTACAAGGAGGGGTGTCCAATATGTGGTGGTTACCTCCCCCATCAGTGTAGTCAGGCTCAGAACCTGTTCTCGCATTGAAATCTCCACAAAGAAGCACTTTACCCTCTGCCTGAAATTGAATGATTTCTGTATGGATTTTGTCTAAAAACTGATCATCATAATATGATGAATCTGAAGGAGGAGCATAAGCTGCACATACAGTGCCTTCGGAAAGTATTCAGACCCCTCGACTCTTTCCACATTTTGTTACATTACAGCCTTGTTCTAAAATGGATTAAATACAAAACAATCCTCAGCAATCTACACACAATACCCAAAATGACAAAGCGAAAACAGGTTTTTAGAAATGTTTGCAAATGTATTAAAAATAAAAAACAGAAATACCTTATTTACCTGAGTATTCAGACCCTTTGCTATGAGACTCAAAATTGAGCTCAGGTGCATCCTGTTTCCATTGATCATCCTTGAGATGTTTCCACAATTTCATTGGAGTCCACCTGTGGTAAATTCAACTGATTGGACATGATTTGGAAAGGCACACAACTGTCTATATAAGGTCAGAGCAAAAACCAAGCCATGAGGTCGAAGGAATTGTCCATAGTGCTCCGAGACAGGATTGTGTTGAGGCACAGATCTGGGGAAGGGTACCAAAACCTTTCTGCAGCATTGAAGATCCCCAAGAACACAGTGGCCTCCATCATTCTTAAATGGAAGAAGTTTGGAACCACCAAGACTCTTCCTAGAGCTGGCCGCCCGGCCAAACTGAGCAATCAGGGGAGAAGGGCCTTGGTCAGGGAGGTGACCAAGAACCCGACGGTCACTCTGACAGAGCTCCAGAGTTCCTCTGTGGAGATGGGAGAACCTTCCAGAAGGACAACCATCTCTACAGCACTCCACCAATCAGGCCTTCATGGTAGAGTGGCCAGACGGAAGCCACTCCTCAGTAAAAGGCACATGACAGCCCGCTTGGAGTTTGCCAAAAGGCACCTAAAGACTCTCAGACCATGAGAAACAAGATTCTCTGGTCTGATGAAACCAAGATTGAACTCTTTGGCCTGAATGCCAAGTGTCACGTCTGGAGGAAACCTGGCACCATCCCTACAGTGAAGCATGGTGGTGGCAGCATCATGCTGTGGGGATGTTTTTCAGTGGCAGGTACTGGGAGACTAGTCAGTGTCGAGGGAAAGATTAACGAAGCAAAGTACAGAGAGATCCTTGATGAAAACCTGCTCCAGAGCGCTCAGGACCTCAGACTGGGGCGAAGGTTCACCTTCCAACAGGACAACGACCCTAAGCACACAGCCAAGACAATGCAGGAGTGGCTTCGGAACAAGTCTCTGAATGTCCTTGAGTGGCCCAGCCAGAGCCCGGACTTGAACCCGATCGAACATCTCTGGAGAGACCTGAAAAATGCTGTGCAGCAACGCCCCCCATCCAACCTGACAGAGCTTGAGAGGATCTGCATAGAAGAATGGGAGAAACTCCCCAAATACAGGTGTGCCAAGCTTGTAGCGTCATACCCAAGAAGACTCAATCGCTGTCTAAGGTGCTTCAACAAAGTACTGAATAAATTAATTCTCTCGTTCTCTCTTTCTCTCTGAGAACCTGAGCCCTAGGACCATACGTCAGGACTACCGGGCATGATGACACCCTGCTGCCCCCAGTCCGCCTGGCCTTGCTGCTATTCCAGTTTCAACTGTTCTGCCTGCGGCTACGAAACCCCTACCTGTCCCAGACCTGCTGTTTTCAACTCTAAATGATCGGCTATGAAAAGCCAACTGAGAGACCTGAGCCCTAGGACCATACGTCGGGACTACCGGCCGTGGTGACTCCTTGCTATCCCCAGTCCGCCTGGCCTTGCTGCTATTCCAGTTTTAAACTGTTCTGCCTGCGTTATGGAACCCCTACCTGTCCCAGACCTGCTGTTTTAAACTCTAATGATCGGCTATGAAAAGCCAACTGAGATTTATTCCTGATTATTATTTGACCATGCTTGTCACTTATGAACATTTTTGAACATCTTGGCATGGTTCTGTTATAATCTCCACCCGGCACAGCCAGAAGAGGACTGGCCACCCCCTCATAGCCTGGTTCCTCTCTAGGTTTCTCCTAGGTTTTTGCCTTTCTAGGGAGTTTTTTCCTAGCCACCGTGCTTCTACACCTGCATTACTAGCTGTTTGGGGTTTTAGGCTGGGTTTCTGTACAGCACTTCGAGATATTAGCTGATGTAAGAAGGGCTATATAAAATAAAATTGATTGATTGATTGGTTTGAATACTTACGTAAATGTGATATTTCCGTTTTTTATTTGTAATAAAAAATTTCTAAAAAACAGTTTTTACCTTGTCATTATGGGGGGTGTAGATTGGTGAGAGGAAGAAAACAATTGAATCCATTTTAGATTAAGGCTGTAACGAAACAAAATGTAGAAAAAGTCAAGGGGTCTGAATACTTTCCGAATGCACTGTCTGTATACATCACTGTCACAATAGATTGTACCTTTGTTAAGTTTTAGCCAAATGTGGTTAGTACCTTTTTTCATTTAATTCAGCACTAAAAGTCCTGTTTATGGCAAATGATGATTCTACCTGAGTCCCAGCCCCGTTTAAAACGTTTATGTTTGATTGATGGTAGTCAACTTTCTCTATAGCCTGAGAGACACTGAATAACAATGTCTCCACGACACCATGTTTCCAGTAGGATTATGATGTCCTGTCCCTTTACGTTTTTTTTAACAAATTCTGGATTTGTTGTTTTATAGCCAAAATGTGAAGAGTACAGGCCCTGGATATTCCAAGAGCTGATAGTTAATGATCTCATTATAATAAGTGATATTCACTGGTTTGAGTAAAGCACAGTATATTAAAAATTAAAAATAAATAAAATAGGAACAAATAAATATATATATACACTACCGTTCAAAAGTTTGGGGTCACTTCGAAATGTCCTTGTTTTCGAAAGAAAAGAAAAAGCTGGTGACACTGTCTGTGATTTATTTAGAATTCAAGGCACACTTAACCAGCATGGCTACCACAGCATTCTGCAGCGATACGCCATCCCATCTGGTTTGGGCTTAGTGGAACTATCATTTGTTTTTCAACAGGACAATGACCCAAATACACCTCCAGGCTGTGGAAGGGCTATTTGACCAAGAAGGAGAGTGATGGAGTGCTGCATCAGATGACCTGGCCTCCACCAATCACCTGACCTCAACCCAATTGAGATGGTTTGGGATGAGTTGGACCGCAGAGTGAAGGAAAAGCAGCCAACAAGTGCTCAGCAAATGTGGGAACTCCTTCAAGACTGTTGGAAAAGCATTCCAGGTGAAGCTGGTTGAGAGAATGCCAAGAGTGTGCAAAGCTGTCATCAAGGCAAAGGTTGGCTACTTCGAAGAATCTAAAATCTAAAATATATTTTGATTTGTTTAACACTTATTTGGTTACTACATGATTCCATATGTGTTCTTTCATAGTTTTGATGTCTTCACTATTATTCTACAATGTAGAAAATTGTCAAAAATAAAGAAAAACCCTTGAATGAGTAGGTGTGTACAAACTTTTGACTGGTATTGTAAGTGTGTGAGATTCTGGGCCTATGCACTAGTGTAAACATCTGTCCCTGTCCAGAGAGCCAGAACCTGCGGAGGCAACAGTAGTGACAGATGACAGATGGGAGAGAGGGGTGTGTGTCTGTGTCTTAGCTCACACACTCCTATCTCTGACAGCTCCACCAAACAGTTGTTCCCCACCTCCCAAAATAACCTCCATTCCACAGCCTTATATGTCCAGCAGCAGCCGTGTTGCCCTCCAGCCCCCCCCACCCTGCTCTCAGCTCTCAGCCTGGCCTGAGAAGGCATCATATATCCAGGCAGAACAATACAGTCCATTGCTGCTGCCTTCATGGCAGCTGGTCGGTGGTAAACCTTGGGGTTCTGGAGGATCAGCCGAGGCCTCTCTCTTTCTTTCTCTCTCTCTCTCTGTCCATCGGAGCCAGTCTTTCTGTGTCTCTGTCTGCCGGCGTCCCCTCACCATGCAGCCTTCCACCATGGACCCCAGCACCACCAAGCTCATCCAGCCTACTGTGGACCTCACCATCACCCAGTTGAACCAGGAGTGTCTCCTCCACCTCCTCTCCTACTTGGATAAAGACAGTTGTAGGTCTCTCTCCCTGACCTGCCATCGGCTCAGACAGGTCTACCTGGACCCCAGGCTGTGGTCACTGCTTCTGTTCCGCTCCCCCTCTGAGCTGAGGAGAGATAACTACGTGTTAGGACCGTCGCTGCGCTATCTGGCTGTCACCTGGCACAGCTCCAGGGTCAAGGTATGCAACGTAGAGGACTGGATGAAGAATCAGTTCCAGAAGGATCTCTGTAGAAAACATGAGAGTCTGGTCAGCAGCTTCCTGGAACGCGTCTGTACCGTGTGAGTAATTACGTCTGTTTCTGTTTATATACACTACGGGTCAGTTTTAGAACACCGACTCATTCAAGGGTTTTTCTTTATTTTTACTATTTTCTACATTGTATAATAATACTGAAGACATAAAAACTATGAAGTAACACATATGGAATCATGTAGTAACCAAAAAAGTGCTAAACAAATCAAAATATATTTTATATTTGAGATTCTTCAAATAGCCACCCCTTTGCCTTGATGACAGCTTTGCACACTCTTGGCATTCTCTCAACCAGCTTCATGAGGTAGTCACCTGGAATGCGTTTCAATTAACTAGTGTGCCTTGTTAATTTGTGGAATTTCTTTCCTTCTTAATGCGTTTGAGCCAATCAGTTGTGTTGTGACAAGGTGGGGGGGTATACAGAAGATAGTCCTATTTGGTAAAAGACCAAGTCCATATTATGGCAAGAACAGCTCAAATAAGCAAAGAGAAATGACCGTCCATCACTACTTTAAGACATGAAGGTCAGTCAATGTTCTCAGGAATGGAATACCCAGAGTTACCTCTGCTGCAGAGGATAAGTTCATTGGAGTTACCAGCCTCAGAAATTGCAAGCCCAAATAAATGGCTTCACAGAGTTTCAAGTAACCGAGACCGCATCTCAAACATCAACTGGTCTAGAGAAGACTGTGTGAATCAGGCTGAAATCCATTGTCAAATTGCTTAATGTTGGTCTCTAGTCCCATCCTCCCTTCAGGTCTCGTTAGCTTAGTACCCAGCCTTAACCTTGGTCCGCAGTCCTTCCCTCCTCCAGGTCTTCGTTAGGCTTAGTACCAGCCTGTAACCTTGGTCTCTAGTCCTTCCTCCCTCCAGGTCTCGTTAGCTTAGTACCAGCCTTAACATTGGTCTCTATTCCTTCCCTCCTCGTTAGCTAGTCCGCCTTACCTTGTCTCTAGTCTTCACCCTCCAGTCTCGTAGCTTAACCAGCTAACCTTGGTCTCTAGTCCTTCCTCCCTCCAGGTCTCGTTAGTCCAGCCTTAACCTTGTCTCACCAGAGCCTTTCTTTAACTCTTAGTACAGCCTAACCTGTCTCTAGTCTTCCCTCCAGGTCTCGTTAGCTTAGTACCAGCCTTCCTTGGTCTCTAGTCCTGCTCCCTCGGTTCGTTAGCTTAGTACCAGCCTTAACCTTGGTCTCTAGTCCCTTCAACCCTCCAGGTCTCGTTCGCTTAGTCCAGCCTAACCTTGGTCTCTTAACCTTGGTCTCTAGTCCTTCACTCCCTCCAGGTGTTCTCGTTAGCTTATAACCCAGCCTTGACCTTGGTCTTAGTCCTTCCTCCCTCCAGGTCCAGCCTTACCGGTATTCTTTGGTTTCTCAAAAATTGGCTTTTGATGCTGCTTTTGGAAAAATGCAATTGATGTTTCAGGAGCCGAATTGACACCTTCTTTATGGTTTTGGTATTGTGAGTTATTGAAGACCTTGTATAGAGTTCATCAGTTTCATTTGAGTTCAATGTTTCAAAGTTTCAATGACTTCTCTGCCACTGTTTGGAGCCCAATCGTACCGATTGGTTCATGTTGTAGAGTTTATTGAGGCGGTTTCTTTTCATGAGTATTGCTGGTTTAATTTCTCAGAAAACACATTGATCTGTCTGTGTCCATGGCAGGATGGCCATTAATCGACTACACTTGTCCAAGAGCTGATAGTATAAGTTAAACTCGACCTAAGAGTCCCTCTGATTCTTACCATTAAGCATGTTACAGGCCTAAGGCTCGACAGAGAGCATAAACTCCTCCTGTTTTTTGTTCAGGGACTGTTCTATTATTTTATAATAGGGCTACTGTACAAGGAGGGGTGTCCAATATGTGGTGGTTACCTACCCCATCAGTGTAGTCAGGATCAGAACCTGTTCTCGCGTGAAATCTCAAAAGAAGAGCACTTTACCTCTGCCTGAAATTGATGGATTTCTGATGGATTTGTCTTAAAAAACTGATTCATCATAATATGATGAATAGAAGGAGGAGCATTAAGCTGCACATACGTGCATGCGGAAATTATTAGGACCCTCGACTCTTTCCACATTTTGTTACATTACAGGCCTTGTTCTAAAATGGAATTATTAAATACAAACAATTCCTCAGAATCTACACACAATACCAAAATGACAAAGCGGAGCGGAAAACAGGTTTTAGAAAATGGTTGCAAATTGTTTAAAAATAAAAAAAACCAGAAATACCTTATTACTGATTATTCAGACCCTGCTATGAGACTCAAATGAGCTCAGGTGCATCCTGTTCCATGATCATCCTTGAGATGTTTCCACAATTTCATTGGAGTCCACCTGTGGTAAATTCAACTGATTGGACATGATTTGGAAAGGCACACAAACTGTCTATATAAGGTCCAGAGCAAAAACCAAGCCATGAGGTCGAAGGAATTGTCCATAGTGCTCCGAGACAGGATTGTGTTGAGGCACAGATCTGGGGAAGGGTACCAAAACCTTTCTGCAGCATTGAAGATCCCCAAGAACACAGTGGCCTCCATCATTCTTAAATGGAAGAAGTTTTGGAACCACCAAGACTCTTCCTAGAGCTGGCCGCCCGGCCAAACTGAGCAATCAGGGGAGAAGGGCCTTGGTCAGGGGGGGACCAAGAACCCGACGGTCACTCTGACAGAGCTCCAGAGTTCCTCTGTGGAGATGGGAGAACCTTCCAGAAGGACAACCATCTCTACAGCACTCCACCAATCAGGCCTTCATGGTTAGAGTGGCCAGACGGAAGCCACTCCTCAGTAAAAGGCACCATGACAGCCCGCTTGGAGTTTGCCAAAAGGCACCTAAAGACTCTCAGACCATGAGAAACAAGATTCTCTGGTCTGATGAAACCAAGATTGAACTCTTGGCCGAATGCCAAGTGTCACGTCTGGAGGAAACCTGGCACCATCCCTACAGTGAAGCATGGTGGTGGCAGCATCATTGCTGTGGGGATGTTTTTCAGTGGCAGGTACTGGGAGACTAGTCAGTGTCGAGGGAAAGATTAACGAAGCAAAGTACAGAGAGATCCTTGATGAAAACCTGCTCCAGAGCGCTCAGGACCTCAGACTGGGGCGAAGGTTCACCTTCCAACAGGACAACGACCCTAAGCACACAGCCAAGACAATGCAGGAGTGGCTTCGGAACAAGTCTCTGAATGTCCTTGAGTGGCCCAGCCAGAGCCCGGACTTGAACCCGATCGAACATCTCTGGAGAGACCTGAAAAATGCTGTGCAGCAACGCCCCCCATCCAACCTGACAGAGCTTGAGAGGATCTGCATAGAAGAATGGGAGAAACTCCCCAAATACAGGTGTGCCAAGCTTGTAGCGTCATACCCAAGAAGACTCAATCGCTGTCTAAGGTGCTTCAACAAAGTACTGAATAAATGGTTTGAATACTTACGTAAATGTGATATTTCCGTTTTTTATTTGTAATAAAAAATTTCTAAAAAACAGTTTTTACCTTGTCATTATGGGGGGTGTAGATTGGTGAGAGGAAGAAAACAATGAATCCATTTAGATTAAGGCTTGTAACGAAAACAAAATGTGGAAAAAGTCAAGGGGTCTGAATACTTTCCGAATGCACTGTCTGTATACATCACTGTCACAATAGATTGTACCTTTGTTAAGTTTTAGCCAAATGTGGTTAGTACCTTTTTTCATTTAATTCAGCACTAAAAGTCCTGTTTATGGCAAATGATGATTCTACCTGAGTCCCAGCCCCGTTTAAAATGTTTATGTTTGATTGATGGTAGTCAACTTTCTCTATAGCCTGAGGGACACTGAATAGCAATGTCTCCGCGACACCATGTTTCCAGTAGGATTATGATGTCCTGTCCCTTTACGTTTTTTTAAACAAATTTGTTGTTTTATAGCCAAAATGTGAAGAGTACAGGCCCTGGATATTCCAAGAGCTGATAGTTAATGATCTCATTATAATAAGTGATATTCACTGGTTTGAGTAAAGCACAGTATTTTAAAAATAAATAAAATAGGAACAAATAAATATATATATACACTACCGTTCAAAAGTTTGGGGTCACTTCGAAATGTCCTTGTTTTCGAAAGAAAAGAAAAAGCCGGTGACACTGTCTGTGATTTATTTAGAATTCAAGGCACACTTAACCAGCATGGCTACCACAGCATTCTGCAGCGATACGCCATCCCATCTGGTTTGCGCTTAGTGGGACTATCATTAGTTTTTCAACAGGACAATGACCCAAAATACACCTCCAGGCTGTGTAAGGGCTATTTGACCAAGGAGAGTAATGGAGTGCTTCATCAGATGACCTGGCCTCCAAAATCACCTGACCTCAACCCAATTGAGATGGTTTGGGATGAGTTGGACCGCAGAGTGAAGGAAAAGCAGCCAACAAGTGCTCAGCAAATGTGGGAACTCCTTCAAGCCTGTTGGAAAAGCATTCCAGGTGAAGCTGGTTGAGAGAATGCCAAGAGTGTGCAAAGCTGTCATCAAGGAATAGGTTGGCTACTTCGAAGAATCTAAAATCTAAAATATATTTTGATTACTTTAACACTTATTTGGTTACTACATGATTCCATATGTGTTCTTTCATAGTTTTGATGTCTTCACTATTATTCTACAATGTAGAAAATTGTCAAAAATAAAAAAAAAACCTTGAATGAGTAGGTGTGTACAAACTTTTGACTGGTATTGTATGTGTGTGAGATTCTGGGCCTATGCACTGGTGTAAACATCTGTCCCTGTCCAGAGAGCCAGAACCTGCGGAGGCAACAGTAGTGACAGATGACAGATGGGAGAGAGGGGTGTGTGTCTGTGTCTTAGCTCACACACTCCTATCTCTGACAGCTCCACCAAACAGTTGTTCCCCACCTCCCAAAATAACCTCCATTCCACAGCCTTATATGTCCAGCAGCAGCTGTGTTGTCCTCCAGCCCCCCACCCTGCTCTCAGCTCTCAGCCTGGCCTGAGAAGGCATCATATATCCAGGCAGGACAATACAGTCGATTGCTGCTGCCTTCATTGTAGCCTGGTGGCAGCTGGTCGGTGGTAAACCTTGGGGTTCTGGAGGATCAGCCGAGGCCTCTCTCTTTCTCTCTCTCTCTCTCTGTCCATCGGAGCCAGTCTTTCTGTGTCTCTGTCTGCCTGGCGTCCCCTCACCATGCAGCCTTCCACCAGCACCACCAAGCTCATCCAGCCTACTGTGGACCTCACCATCACCCAGTTGAACCAGGAGTGTCTCCTCCACCTCCTCTCCTACTTGGATAAAGACAGTTGTAGGTCTCTCTCCCTGACCTGCCATCGGCTCAGACAGGTCTACCTGGACCCCAGGCTGTGGTCACTGCTTCTGTTCCGCTCCCCCTCTGAGCTGAGGAGAGATAACTACGTGTTAGGACCGTCGCTGCGCTATCTGGCTGTCACCTGGCACAGCTCCAGGGTCAAGGTATGCAACGTAGAGGACTGGATGAAGAATCAGTTCCAGAAGGATCTCTGTAGAAAACATGAGAGTCTGGTCAGCAGCTTCCTGGAACGCGTCTGTACCGTGTGAGTAATTACGTCTGTTTCTGTTTATATACACTACGGGTCAGTTTTAGAACACCGCCTCATTCAAGGGTTTTTCTTTATTTTTACTATTTTCTACATTGTATAATAATAGTGAAGACATAAAAACTATGAAGTAACACATATGGAATCATGTAGTAACCAAAAAAGTGCTAAACAAATCAAAATATATTTTATATTTGAGATTCTTCAAATAGCCACCCCTTTGCCTTGATGACAGCTTTGCACACTCTTGGCATTCTCTCAACCAGCTTCATGAGGTAGTCACCTGGAATGCGTTTCAATTAACTAGTGTGCCTTGTTAATTTGTGGAATTTCTTTCCTTCTTAATGCGTTTGAGCCAATCAGTTGTGTTGTGACAAGGTGGGGGGGTATACAGAAGATAGTCCTATTTGGTAAAAGACCAAGTCCATATTATGGCAAGAACAGCTCAAATAAGCAAAGAGAAATGACCGTCCATCACTACTTTAAGACATGAAGGTCAGTCAATGTTCTCAGGAATGGAATACCCAGAGTTACCTCTGCTGCAGAGGATAAGTTCATTGGAGTTACCAGCCTCAGAAATTGCAGCCCAAATAAATGCTTCACAGAGTTCAAGTAACAGACACATCTCAACATCAACTGGCTAGAGAAGACTGTGTGAATCAGGCTGTCATTGTCACATTGCTTAACCTTGGTCTCTAGTCCTTCCTCCCTTCAGGTCTCGTTAGCTTAGTACCAGCCTTAACCTTGGTCTCTAGTCCTTCCTCCCTCCAGGTCTTGTTAGCTTAGTACCAGCCTTAACCTTGGTCTCTAGTCCTTCCTCCCTCCAGGTCTCGTTAGCTTAGTACCAGCCTTAACCTTGGTCTCTAGTCCTTCCTCCCTCCAGGTCTTGTTAGCTTAGTACCAGCCTTAACCTTGGTCTCTAGTCCTTCCACCCTTCAGGTCTCTATCTGATTGCTACTGTAGATCATGTTATGTATGCTTTATAACCACACATACACTTTTCCTACTAGCACTAACTTTGCTGATAACTTCTTTACTGAGGAAAAAATGTACTTACTATGACTGTGATATGTGGTTGTCTCTTAAGATGAATGCACTAACTGTAAGTCGCTCTGGATAAGAGCGCCTGCTAAATGACTAAAATGTCAAATGTTAATTATCCTTCCTTTCTCCAGGTGTCCTAACCTCCTGTCCCTGACCCTGTCTGGCTGCGGTCATATTTCAGACCAGGAAGTGATCTGTGTTCTGCAGAGCTGCAGTCGGCTCCGCTCCCTCCGTCTGGAGAACTGTGTCCGGGTCACAGACCTCACCCTGCAGGCCCTGGTGCTTCACGGGGCCGGGCTCCACCAGGTCACAGTGGACTTCTGCCGTAACGTTACCCAGGCAGGGCTGGAGACGGTCAGGGAAAGACGGCCGGACATTAGGCTGACCGCTGAGAGGAGCGCAGGGATGATACCAGATATTAAACCGGACAAGAGGACGCAGCAACCAGTCAGACGGAGGCTTCTGCAGAAGGTCCTAATGTTCTCCTGATGAGAGGCTGCAGATGATGACCATAGACTTAACCACAGATCTGCTTCCCAAATGGTACCCTATTCCCTATGTAGTGCACTACTTTAGACCATGGCCCATAGCGCTCTGGTAAATAGTAGTGCACTATGTTGGGAATATTTGGGACACAGACGTCGTTTCACCACCAGGGGGCAGTGTTGTAATTTTTTACAGTTTCACCACCAGGGGGCAGTGTTGTAATGTCTACAGTTCCACCACCAGGGGGCAGTGTTGTAATGTCTACAGTTCCACCACCAGGAGGCAGTGTTGTAATGTCTACAGTTTCACCACCAGGGGGCAGTGTTGTAATGTCTACAGTTTCACCACCAGGAGGCAGTGTTGTAATGTCTACAGTTCCACCACCAGGGGGCAGTGTTGTAATGTCTACAGTTCCACCACCAGGAGGCAGTGTTGTAATGTCTACAGTTCCACCACCAGGGGGCAGTGTTGTAATGACCTCCCAAAGGGTTGCTGTTTAACCCTCCATGTTTCAGTCTTATTGATCCAAAATAGTTTTGTTTTTGAAGTTATCATTTTTTAAAACTTTATACTGATTTTTATTTGAGGTGTTTTATACTTTGTGTCGTTGGGTTTTATGCTGAGATTTGATGATTTGTTAAAATATTTGTTTAATTGTATTGAACAATAACTGTGGATGTCACAGTTGAGGTCACTGACTGAATGTAGGCCTCTTTCTCAATGTTCTATAAACTGACTGAGTCATCCAGCTCTGAGTCATCCAGCTCCTCACGTTTCTTTCCAATAAAATAACAGTGCAGTGCAGTGCAGCCCATGAGGGGAGGGAGAGAGGCACGGGGAGGGCGGAACGAGGGGAGGCGGAGGGGAGGGAGGGAGACTGATCCTTCCACCAAGAGGGAAGGGGAGAGGAGAGGGAGTGAGAGATGAGCGAGAAGGAGACGCGACGAGGAGTGGCGAGGGGTCGGGGTGGAGGTAGAGGAGAGGCAGGGGTGCGGAGAGGCCGAGGGGGGGGAGGAGGGGAGCAGAAGGGGGGGGAGGAGGGGACCTCTTCGAGCGAGGGGGGGGGAGGAGGGGAGAGGAGACGGAGAGGGGAGGGAGGATGGAGGCGCGGGAGGATGGGGGAGGGGGGGGGGGGAGGGGAGGATGAGAAAGAGGAGGGGGGGGGGTGGGAGGAGCGAGGAGGGAGGAGGACGAGAGGGGGAGGTGGAGGAGGGGGGAGGAAGAGGAGGGGGACCGAGGAGGAAGGGACTGGGGGAGGGGAGAGGAACGAGGAGGATGGGGCGCGGAAGGGAAAGGAGAGGAGTAGAGGGAGGGGGGCCGGGGGAGGACCGTAGGGGAGAGGAGAGGTATGGTGGGCCCGGGAGGGAGGAGGAGAGCGGAGACGAGAGGGGGTGGGAGGATGAGAGAGGAGACGAGGAGGGGGCGCCGGCGGAGGAGGGGATCCGGTCGGAGAGGAGACGTGGGGGGGCCCGAGCGGGAGGAGGGGCAGGGGACCACGAGCGAGCAGGAGGGAGGAACGGCGGAAGAGGCGGAGGGGCCGAGAGGAGAGGATCGGGGGGGTTTGGGGGGGAGGAGGGGAGGGGAGAGGAGTGGAGGGGAGAGGAGAGGAGGGGGGGGGGGGGGGGAGGACGGGGGGGGGGGAGGAGGGGAGGAGGAGAGGACGAGGAGGGGGGAGGGGAGGAGAGGAGAAGGATAAGGAGAGGACGGCGGAGAGGCAGAGGAGAGGAGAAGGAGAGGAGGGGTGAGAGGAGAGGAGTAGGGGCTGGGGGGAGGAGAAGGAGTAGGAAGGAGCTCGGGTGGGGAGGAGGGGAGAGCGACGCGCAGGGGGGATGGAGACGGATGGAGAGGACGAAGGACGGCGGCGGGGGCGTCGGGGAGGAGGAGAGGATGAGGAGAGGAGGGGGACGGGGAGGAAGGATTTGAGGAGGGGGGGGGGAGGAGAGGAGAGGGGAGAGAGCAGGAGGGGGGGGGGGAGGGTGGGGGGGGGGAGGAGGGGGAGAGAGGAGGGGGCGGCGGAGGAGGCGGGGAGGAGGAGGAGGGGGGGGGAGGGTCCCGGGGGGGGGAGGAGGGGGAGGAGAGAAGGGGGGCGGAGGAGGGGAGAGGAGAGGAGGGGGGGGGAGGAGGAGAGGCAGAGGAGGGGGAGAGGACCGAGGAGAGAGAGGGCGAGGGAGCGGGAGAGGACGGAGGAGAGGGGGGGGGAGGATCGAGGAGGAGGAGAGGAGGGAGAGGGGGGGGGGGCAGGAGGGGAGAGGACGGGGGGGGGGGGGGCAGGGGAGGAGAGGAGGCGGGAGGGAGAGGAGAGGAAGGGGGGGGAGGAGCCCAGGGGGGGAGGAGAGGAGAGGAGGCGGAGGGAGAGGAGAGGGCGGGGGGCAGAGGGGACTGTAGGAGGCGGCGACTGGGGGAGAGGGAGAGCAGAGAGAGGGAGGAGGGGTGAGGAGGGGAGACGGAGGGGGGGGGAGAGGGGAGAGGACGACGGAGAGGGGGGGAACCGAGAGAAGGAGAGGAGAGCGGGGCGGAGTAGGAGGGGAGAGGAGCATGAGGGGGGGGGGGAGGGGAGAGAGGCCTGAGGAGGGAGGGGGGGGGAGGAGAGGAGGGAAGAGAGGAGGGGAGAGGAGGGGAGGAGGGGCGGGGGGAGGAGGGGAGAGGAGCGAGGGGGGGGGAGGAGGGAGAGGAAGGGGGGGTGAGCGAGGGGGAGAGGAAGAGGAGGGGGGGGGGAGGCAGAGGATGAGGGCGAGGGGAGAGGACGAGGGGGGGAGAGGACGAGTAGGCGGGGGAGGAGGAGAGGAGGGACGAGGAGGAGGAGGGGGGGGAGGAGGGAGAGGAGGGGGGGTGAGGAGGGGAGAGGACGAGGGGGGTGAGGAGGGGAAGAGGAGAGGAGGGGGGGCGGTGAGGAGGGAGAGGAGAGGGGGGTGAGGAGGGGGAGAGGAGGGGGGTGGGGAGAGGAGAGGGAAGGAGAGGAGAGGAGAGGAGAGGAGAGGAGAGGAGAGGAGGGGAGAGGAGGGGAGGGGAGAGGGGGCACAGCCCATGTTGGACCAATTCCCATTAGAACACATTACGTTGCTCTTTATGGGACTCTGTAGGCCTTAGTTACAACATGTACTCCATAGAGGGGAGGGGGTGGGTTGAGGAGGGGGAGGGGGGGTGAGAGGGGAAGAGAGGAGGAGCGTGGGAGGGGGGGGGAGGAGGGGAGCAGGAGGGGGAGAGGGGGGGGGAGGAGCGGGGAGAGGAGGGGGCAGGGGGGGGAGGAAGAGGGAGGGAGGGGTATCCAGGGGACGTGGGGGGGGGGTGTGAGGGGGGGGGAGGGGGGGGGGGAGGAGGGGGGAGGAGGGGGAGGGGGGGAGGAGGGGGAGGGGGGGAAGGAGGGGAGCATGAGGCGGAGGGTGTGACGGAGAGGAGGGGAGGGGGGGGATGGGGAGGAGAGGAGGGGAGGGGGGGTGAGTGAGAGGGGGGGGAGAGGAGGGGGGGAGAGGAGGGAGGGGGGGAGGAGGGGGGAGGAGGGGTGAGGGGGGGAGGGGGGAGAGGGGAGGGGGGTGAGGAGAGGACGGGGAGGGGGGGGGTGAGGAGAGGAGGGAGGGGGGGGGGGGGGGTGAGGGGGGGGGAGGGTGCAGGAGGGGGGGGGGAGGGGGGAGGAAGGCGTTGTCCTTTTTTTGTTCTGTCTTCTGCGCAGAGGACATAAAGTCACGTTTTACACGTTTTACATGTTAGTCATTTATCAGACGCTCTTCTCCAGAGAGACCTGGTGCATTCCTCTGAAGATAGCTAGGTGGGACAACCACATATCACAGTGCATTTTCCTCAAAGTAGCTTTCAGCAAAGTCAGAGCTAGTAGGGAAAAGTTTGAGTTTTAGTTCATGAATGGCAGGGTGTTTTTAAGATACTCTTTGAAGAGGTAGGGTTTCAGACGTTTTCAGAAGAAATGGGCAGGGACTCTGCTGTCCTAGCGTCAGGGGAAAGCTCGTTCCACCATTGGGGTACCAGGACCCAGAAGATCTTGGACTGGAAAGGTGTTTAGTTTCATTTATTAGGATCCCCATTAGCTACTGCACATGCAGCAGTTATTCTTCCTGGGGTCCACATAAAACGTCATGCAGCAAGACAATGATCCAAAACACTCAATCAAGTCTACAAGAAAATGGCTTAAAAATAACACATTTGAAGTTTTGGAATGGCCTAGATGCTGTGGCAGGACTTGAAATGAGCAGTTCATGCTTGAAAAACCCACAAATGTCGCTGAGTTAAAGCAGTTCCTCCACAGTGATGTGATCAACAAAAACAGGAAGCGTTTGGTTGGAGTCATTGCAGCTAAAGGTGGCACAACCAGTTATTGAGTGGAAGGGGGCAATTACTTTTTTCACACAGGGGTGTTGCATAACTTTGTTAAATAATTAAAATAAGTGGCCATTATTTAACTTTTAGATGTGTTTGTATTGTTGTGTATTGGTAGATATTACTGCACTGTTGGAGCTAGGAACACAAGCATTTCACTACAACCGCAATAACATCTGCTAAATATATGTATGTGACCAATAACATTTGATTTGATGTTAGAGAAGCTTCCAGAAGAACACTCTGGGTTCTACTGGATTTACATTCACGTCATTTAGCTCTTATCCAGAGCGAGTTATTATTATTATTATTTAATTTTTTTCTGGCCCCCCCGTGGGAATCGAACCCACAACCCTGGCGTTGCAAACGCCATGCTCTATCAACTGAGCTACCAACAAATAAAAATGTATTTGTCACATGCGCCGAATACAACAGGTGTTGACCTTACAGTGATATGCTTACTTACAGCCCTTAACCAACAATGCAGTTTTAAGAAAGAATACCAAAAAGAAATCACTAAAAAATGGAATATAAAATAATACGAAATAAAAGTAACAAATAATTAAAGAGCAGCAGTAAAATAACAGTAGTGAGGCTATATACAGGGGGTACCGGTACCGAGTCAATGTGCGGGGGTACAGGTTAGTCGAGGTAATTGA